TATCTTTCCAGTCCTGCAGATGTTTCAGTCTGACTCAGCCATAAAAAAATCCACTTAGAGACGCAAAGTGTGAAGAAGAAAAGAGCAACAGAGATTCTGACTCCTCTGAAGCTGGTAATAAATCTAAATATTTTATTGCAGAATGGTTTCAGTCAGATTCAACTGTTTTAGCACATTTGCTAAGGTGGAATAAAGCTAACTGCTCCTGCTCTGATGAAACCTTCCTGGAACGTGCTGTTCTTCAGGATCTCCGGTTCGGTTCGGTTCTGATGACTTCACTTTACACCTCACTTCGTTTCAGAGTCTCAGATGTCGAAGCTGCCAGGCGGATTTTTCGTCTCTGTGTTTCGGTACGTTTCATGTCAAACCCGCTGCGCCGCTCGGGGCCACAGTCTGGCACTTCCTCCAACTTTTCCTCTTCCTGTCGCTCTTAGCGCCATCACACTTCTTCAGTTCCTCACAACATCTTCTGGTTCTGGCTGCTTGGAGAATAAACGAGTGAGGAACAGCAGACGCTGCCTTCTTGTGTTAATTCTCTCTTTACTCTGCTGGTTTTAGTCTTTTTTTTAGACCCAGTTAAATGTGCTAACAGCAGATTTCTGGAGCCCCTCTCAGGGGTCACCGGCTGAGTGGCAGAGGTCGTCCTGGACAGGTGGCCAGTCTGTCACACAGAGACTCTCAGGTAAATCAGAGACAAATGAACCCAGCGGCGTTCCTGGAGAGCTGCTGTCCTGAATCCAACTGATGATTCGTTAGCTGGACTCTGCAGAGCGGCATGACCGACTGCTGATGACAGAACTCAGCTGTTCTGGTCTGGTCAGTTTACCAAACAATAGTTTCATCAGACCACAGGAATGATTTTTGTAGCGTGGTTTTTGTGCTGTTTGTGAAGTAATGGCTTCTTGGTTTCTGAGCGGCTTTCCGGCTGCTGTTGGTCCAGGAAACGTCTCACTGTGGATAACGAATGAAGATCCTTCACAGGTTTTATTCCGGGTTGATTCAGACATTTCCGTCCGTCTCTGAACATCCACTCGCTGTCCGAACTTATTGTTTGAACGGATAAATGTGGATCTGGAAGCTGTTTTCAAGGATGAACCAGACATGTGGACGTCCATAATCCATAACACTTTTCCTGAATTCTGTTTTATTTGTTCATAAAATCAGACAAAAATCCATGACATCAACAGACCTGCTAGTCTTACAAACACATCACACCTCTCTGTTCTTTATTTTAGTATTTGTTTGAAAATCATCTCATTTTCTTTACACTTCACAAACTACATTCTGCTTTGTGCGACATGTAACATAAAACATATTATTGTTTGTATTTGTAATGCGATAAAATGTGAGGCGGAGTGAACACCTGGAAGGAGCTGCAGCTTGTTGAGGTTAGCTGAAGGATTTTATGTTTCAGAGGAACAAAGTTTCACACTGAAGACGACGCAGTCGGCTTGTGTTGCCATGGAAACAGCTTCAACAACAATCCTGCAAGTCATCATCTGCAGAAGTTTAAACTAAAACTCTTCAGCTCTGCACCGTCAGTACTCTCAAACTGATATTGCTGAACTTTATCTTCAGCTGAACTCTCACATTAACAAGTCTTTAAGGATTCATGTTTATTTCTGAAGATTTTTCATCTGCAGAATCAAAGGATGAAGAACACAGTGATGAGATTAGAGAGGAAACACTGCTGAACATACTGAATATAAGTGATATAATCAAAAACAAACACCACTTACCATGATTATTTTAAATGGCAATTAATTTTTATTGGTTTGATGTCCATCCATCCATTTTCTTCCACTTATCCGGGGTCGGGTAGCAGCTTAACAATATTACATCAAACTGGTTTATTGTAATATTCTAATTTTAAATGTCATGTTTTCATTTCATGTAAGTGAAAAATCATCATAAGTAACAGAAACAGAGGCTTGCAAATATTAGTCACAGTGTAATTTATCTTAATATTTTTATATAACGAGTGATAAAGTTCTTTAAATAATTTTCGATAATATTCTAGTTTGTTGAATTTGTCTGTATGTTTAGAAAGACTTTATAAACCACAGCTAGAATCTTGATTATCATCATTAATGATATAAATGACTTTAGATTATTTTCATTCAGTGAACAAATGTTTTTATTCTGAGTGACGTCACAGAAAAGTATGAAGTTAAACAGCAAAGAAATGTGACTGCATTTCCTACAATGTCCACTAGAGAGCAACATACATCCATAGGTATGTTGCGAACATTTCACAACCACAGAGTGAAAGCACAGCCATGAATAATATTGATATTTTTAAAATGTGACGTTTTCCCTTTTCAGGGTTGAAACTTAAAGTCTCTATTTTTGCTTAAAACATTCAGAAATGTGAAGAAACTGAAAACTCTAATAAATGCATATCAATCAAATTTGCAAGTATATATGCATAGTAAAATATGTAGTAAAATATGCATTTGTCATGTGTTAATGCAGTTAAACAGATATTGGGCTGAAAATAAAGCATCTGTTATGAAAACACAACAAAAGGTGATTAGTTAAAATCAGCTGCTGAGCAGGTGGAAAACCAAAGGTTTCTGATATCTGTATGCAGCTGTTAGCAGAATCAGAACAGATGTTCTGATGATAACATTTGTCCTGCGAACTGATTTTAATTAAACAATCAAACCAAGAAATCAAAATGTAAAGTAAAAATGAAGGAGGGATCACAAAAACACCCGACTGGGGAGTTTTCAGGATATTTATTCACTTCTCAGCTGTCTGTGTCATATCTGGCTTATAATTATGGTGCTAATATTTGATATGGAATCATGTTTTAACAACTGAAAAGACGCCCAGCAACTATAAAACATTAAAATCTTAATATATCTAGTGACCTAAAGCAACACTGAGCTGTGGCAGTCTGCTTCACATCAGGAAGCAGACGTTCAGACCTGCAGCCACTGATTTCTTACAAACAGGTTGTATCGTGGTAACAATGACAGGATGGTGAGTCTACAGGTCTGTTGCTTATTAACTGGTCCTGTTGTTAAAGAGCAGTAACTGCATCACGTTATCCGTTCTGTAAATATAGAAAACTGGAGATAAAAAAGAGTCAAGGACAAAAACTGAGGAAACAGAATCACAGGAAGTCTCAGCAAAGTCAAGATAAAAGACAAACCAGAACGTCAGGATGGGATTTATGTGAGAATACATCTATAAAACACACGTTGAGTGGAAACAGAAGAAAATTTACTTTTTCCAAAATATCTGGGTTATTGCAAACAGGGACTTAGTTACAGCATCCATCCATCCATCCATCCATCCATCCATCCATCCATCCACCCATCCACCCATCCGTATTTAAACATCAATTAATTAAATTAGTAAAAGAAAAAGGTACATATCATCTTAAGTGGTTGAGCTATATGCTCCTTTTCAAATAGCGGTCAAAAGATATGTACACATCACATCATTGAATAAAAGGTTTAGAACATCACAATTTTTCTTTTTTTATTGAAAATGATGCAGTTTTATTTCTGTGTTCTGTGAAATGCAGATATAGAACATATATAAGAACTGATGTTTTTGTTTTTTTAAAGAAACTTATAAACAAACTTTTTAAAGGACATTAAAGTCATCTTTATCCTCTTTAACTTATACAGTTTATCCCTTCTGTTCTTTTCTTCTTCCTCAAGAAGAAACGCAGAACCTGTTGGACCTTTTTCTGCCCTGTTCTGGTGATGAAGCAGTAGAGCAGCGGGTCTACCAGGCAGTTCATGATGGATATAGCAGTGCTAACCTTGTAAATAATGAGGAACCATTTAAAACTCTGGCAGCCATCCAACAGCATGCGGACCATGAAAGAGACATGGATCGGTCCGAAGCAGACCAACAGGCAGAGAAGAACCACCGTCAGCAGCTTTGAGATCCGCAGCCGTTCCTCGTCCATCGTGGCTCTGTTTGCTTTCACTGCCAGGCATGTGCTCCGGGTGGAGAAAAAGACGATGAGAACCGGAACCACGAAGCCCAGGAAGAAGCGAGCGATGCTAGCATTAGCCATGGTCTGCGACAGTGGGAGGAAGATGTCGTAGCACAAAGAAAACATGTTGTTTTCATAGTAGGAGTCCTCCCAGGTTATGGTGCACACATTGAAGCCCATCACCAACACCCAAATGGTGACGGAGATCATGGCGGCGGTGCTGACCTTCCTCGTCCAGGCGTACCTGAGCGGGTGAACCACCGCCAGGTAGCGGTTCACTGCGATGCAGCAGAGAAAAGCCTCACTGGTGTAGAAGTTGGTGTAGAGCGAGAAGATGGAGGCCAAACAGACGTAGCCTCCGTGGGTCCAGACGCCTCTCCACAGGAAGTCCATCCACAGGGAGAGGCCCAAGGTGAAGGTCAGGTCACTCAAGGCCAGATGGAAGAGGTAAACGCCAAGGTCGTTTTTCTGCCTGATGTGCTGACACGACACGTACAGGGAGAAGGTGTTCGCAGGGATGGAGATGATGATGACGGTCAGGTAGTAGAGGAGGAAGAGCTTCCTCCTGAGAGGCGTTTCCACCGGGAAACATCCTGAAGCATTGGCCCCCAGAGTCAGGTACTCCATGGCAGACCGCAGGTTTTAACGCCAACCTCTGGTGGAAAACAGGAGGAAGAGAAACAAACAGCTGGAAAACTTTTACATATTTACTGATAAAACATTTACTGAGTTCACTGTGTCATACTTACCATTAATATTTAAACACATTAAAGTTTTGTCACAGGTCTTTTAATTTCACAAATCTGTTTCTTAATTTTTTTTTTTAATACATTAGTTTGGTGACATAAAGATAAGATTTGTTACTATTTCACATCTAAACGCATTCAGATATTTTCTCTCTTTCTGCAGGTGTAGAGGCATTTGTTTCCTCTGGCTTCTTTCTCTTCATTCCATTCAGTTTATTTGTATAGCACCAATTTACAACTAATTTCTCAAATCAATTCACTTTGTGATGATATTTTAAAGTACTTAATAAGGTCCAACGTGTTTAAAATGAGAAAAACACGCATCTGTCACGCCCTCTGGTCAGTCTTTGCTGTTTGCCCAAATTTATCAGAGATAAATTATTTCAAGGCCACATGCCAAAACCATGTTGGAGCCAAACTATCAAAATTCCCAGAACTAACTTTTCCCAGGACTCATTAATCCAAAGGGAATTTCGACTGAACTCCTACAGAAACCCATCACCCTGTGGAAAATGGAAACTTTATAGCATGTATCTGTTCCATCACTTTGTGCATCTCGTGCCATAATGTCTTTGTTTCTGAGTTAAATTACACAAGTTCAATTTTATGAATTCATCAGACCTCCACAAAAGCAGTTATTACATTTTTGTAATTGGAGCAATGAACGTCTGCATGAAATGAAACTTTTCCAACATTTCTGAGCTGCTATTCTGGGTGAAAGGATCGACATCCGACCCGTCCTGAGGAGACTCATCAAACATTAGTTCTGCACAACAACTTGAATAAAATAAATAAAATACTATTTTGAACAAATTAATAATTAAGTTCAGGTTTTTTTCAGGTTTAAAACTCAAAGTTGATTACTTACAGTTTTCTCCTGAACTCTGTCCATATACCTGCAGCGTAGATCAGGCCGGCTTCATGTTTCTTCATCAGTCTGCTTCCAAACCAGCAATCAGGAGAAAAACAAACACAGGCCAGTTTTAGTCTGGACACAGAGTGAGAGGTTTCATGTTTGTTGCGTCGTTACGTTGGTGATGATCATGACTGCCTGATGGTCATTATTATCATGTCTCCATAGTGCACTCATCAGCTGTTCCTGTTTAAAATAAAAGCCCATTTGCCTTTAGCACTTTTAAAACATGATTCTGATGTAATTTTCTGTCCTCCACAGAAACGACACTTAGGTCTCTGAGTTTAGTTTAGGTTTTTAAATTCAGTTGGTAAAAGTTTCTCTCTGCGCCTCATTAGAAACATGGAACTGTCTGAAACATGTTGCAGGAATCTGGTTGTTCTTCAGTGTTTCTGTTGGATCAAAGATGGACGTGTGCTGATTATATTATGTGAAGGATAACAGCGCCCCCATGTGGCGAAACGGGAGAACATGCATGCAGAGCCTTTAGGTCGTCCACTCCAAAATGAAATGAAATGAAAACAATGAGAAGATTAGAATGTTATATAACACCATTAAAGAATATTTAATACAGAAATGTGTGCCTGTCTATGTTGCACTTTACTTGGTCTGGGCTCCTTTTGCATGAATTACTGCTTCAGTGCAGCGTAGCATGGAGGACATCAGCCTGGTTCTGTTCAGGAAGTCTAGGTATAACAACTTCAGCTAAACTTAATTTAAAAAAAACAAACACTTTTATTAGTAACCAAGATGTTTGACCTTTCTAAGTTTGGAACCAGAGATGACAACAATAAGAGCTTTCTAATGTAGACAGCACATATCAGGCTCATCTTCTGAAAAATAGAATAAAATCATTGAAACAATCTCACTCGGCTGTTATTATTATTTTCAGACAGAAAGTTGAAAGGTTTCAGGTCCAGATAAATCAGACTACTGAACAACTTGTATCTTAAGATAAACCTTCAATATCTGCTGTGATTAGCTGCTAACCTCCGGGTCACTATCTAAGCAGATATTGAAGGTTTATCTTATATCTTATATATATCTAACTCCATTTATCACCTCAATAAATGGAGTTATACTTTATGACTTGAACTGTCTTCTGGTTTTAGTATCAGATGAAATCCCAAGTGGTGTTTATCAAACTGATAATAAATCTTTCCTAATCGTTCCAAAATCCACTTTTCACCAGGATTTTGGACCATCTTAGTACTCCATTTGTTTTCCTCTCAACCTCTGATTAAGGAGGAGTTTAGAACAAGGAACAGATCAGCTGTAGTCATTAACCGGATCCGTCTGTGTGTGTTGGTTCCTGAAGTCCAGCTGAAGGTCAGACGTTATGAATCTGTCTTTGCTGAAAAAACCCCTTGTTGAGTTTTTATCTGCTTTCTGTGCACTTTTTTCTACCACAACTTTTCCTTCCACTCAATTTTTCTTTAAAATATATGAATACAATAACTTGTAAAGAGTTAGCTATTTTTGCAATTAAATTGTATGTGTAGACCCATGAAAAACAAACTATATGTAAATGAAAACACTGAATATAAAAACAGGCACCCCAACATTATTTTTTTATCTTTAGTTTCTCAGTGTAAGAAGTTCTTCAGTGTTATTTCAGCTATTCAGCGCAATTCCACATACAACCTCTAGGGGCGTCTGTCGCATTGGTGCATAGAGAAGGTTGGGCACACAGAAGAAGAATAAACCTTCCAGTTAGATGCGGAAGCTCAACGTGTGTCTCATCTTTTCTGTATAACAGGTCAGTAAAAATGTATTTTGATGCATAAATATTGATTAGTTTTAGGAGTTGAAGAGGTTATTGAATCGGGAGTCAACTAGTGAGTCACATTATGCAGTTTGTGATGAGTATTATGTAGAAAACGAGACATAATTCTGGAGCCTAATTTATGCTAATGCTAGCGAACTTCTGTGCGTTGAGCTAGCTGAGAAATAGCTGAAGGACTGCTGAATTCACTTTGAACTGGTTGCATTTTGTACATTTCGAAACGATTTTAAAATAAAGGATGCTATTTCAATCTCTTTAATTGTAAAATGGAGTTTTGTTTGGTTATTGCAAAAACAGAAACCATATTGTTACGACATTCGGTGAGTAACTAATGATTGTTTATGTGTAAAGCTTAGTAAAGAGACGCAGCACTAAAAGAGCAGTTTTGAATTTTTTGTGTAGCAGATAAAGTACTATTATTCTGTAAAACAATACAGTTAAAAGCTAAGATGTATATTTTATTTGTGCAGAATAAAAATTGTGAAAGCTATTAAAATAATTAAAAGCAAATTCATATACCTTATTTTCTGCACTATAA